TTAATTCAAGAATTGACTTTATTATAGAAATATTAAATTCATATGAAATGATTTATAAAGTTTTATAAATAATGACTTTTATCGCAATCGGCAATGAATTCATATTCAAAAACACTATTAATTATTATTTAACGAATGATAAAAATTATTCAGTTATAAAAATAGTTATTTAAACAGTTATTTGGTAAACGATTAATAATCTATGATTATTAATTAACAATATATTAATGCTAAATATACCGGTAATTATATTCAACATAGTTTCAATTAAATGTAATCAAATGTATTATTTAAAGTGTAATTCATATTAAACATTAAGTAAACATATATTTAGTAAACCGTAATAGAAACAATCAAATTGTAAAACAATTAAAAAATGTAGTAATTATATAACAGGAAAAATGATTTGAATGGGTATTATAAACACACAAAAAGCTAAATTTAGTCGCAATACAAGTAACAAAACAAAAGACAATAATTTGCATTAAATAACGACAAAATTTCTAAACCAATCTTACAATCGACTACCTATTCATTACTATCGCTCAAACTGTTGAGCGCTTTCATGGCATTAATGCGTTGACTGCCGGGCGGTATCAACAGTGTCTTGTGGACGTCCACACTGTCCTCCATGTCCTCCTTGTGATAGTCGGGTGGGAACACCTGGTTCACCACCTCTTTGACGATGTATGGTATTTGCCTCTTGTCATCCCAATAGCGAGACGGGAGGCGGAAGCCTTCCGTTCGTATAGTTGTGGCCAACTCTGTCAGAATGACCACAAGTCTGGCCCTCAACTCGGCGCTAACGAACAGGAACTCCACGGTTGACAGCGCTTTGAACATAATCGCCAAATCCAGTTCATACAGATGTATGTCCTTCTCATTCATCGGACGCTGAATCGCTGCCAACCTGTCCACACAAATGACACAACCATTCGGTTAACAAGACATTCAAACACATCATAAGACATATAATACTCGTGTCGATCGACGACCACATCCGCGGCTAACTTCAGATAACAGTCGACGAGTGGGTTCTTGTCGACGCTCTCTTTGGTGTTACTGATGGCCGTCCGAAACATTGTCATCACTTGAAACGTATAGTAGTAGAGCATTAGCCAATCAAACAGTTTGAACCACTCCCTGGCCGTGAGCGCCGGCAATATGTGCGCCAACGCCGTCTTAATGTCCTTCTCGTATGTGATGTACAGCTCGGGCTGATAGACAGCGCTGATCCACTGGTGACTATGTGTGGCGATGGCGTAGTGGAGGATCTGGTCGTGATATATGTCGGTCCGAATATTGTACAACTCGTGCACCGGCTTAGGGAACACCCGCTCGCAGTACATAAGGTATATGCGATGATGGGAGGCCTGCATACGACTCCCGAACAGGTCTCTCAACATGTCATCCAAATCGTGGAACTCCTCTTCAGTCAACTCTCTATTCAACTTCTTCTTCAAGAAGTCGTCCAAGAATTCGACGAACAGTTCCTTACGGACAGGACTTCGCCAGAAATAGTCCATGTATTGCATCAAATAGGCTATAAGCCGGGTATATTAGACCGCACTTAAACTTATGATCAAAATAAGTGTTACTCACCAATGATGGGAACGGGATTCGCTTGAATGGTAGGCCACTCCCCGTCAGTCATATTTACCAAATTCTTAAGTAACACCAGTTTCGAGAAGACCACCTCTTGTTTCGTGAACTTATTGTCGCAAATCAGGTATTGAAACAGCGTTTCCACCGATACTACGGGCGACATGTCCTCCCTCTGCGGCTCATTCACAATGAGTTCAATAAGTTTTGTCATTTGATTAATCATTTCGAGCGATGACTGATCCATAATGCGGTGCAGAATCAGTTGATACAGCACTGGGTGTCCGTACATCTCCATTGAGGACAAGGCGTGCAACTCATTCACCAGTACTTTGGCCACAACCTGCTGATGGACTAGGCTTTGGTCGAACGCCACTGCCATCAACTGTTCCAGTGTTTTCCGGCCGTCGATATAAGCGCCTAAACAGACCATACAGTTCATCATATTTAACATACCGTTCACTAGAAGTGTGGCGAACACTACAAACCGATAATGATTTCGTGGATCAGTTTGTCGAGAGTAATGGTGTCGTTGTCGACGAGTTGGTTAAATAGAGTCTTAATGGCCATCGAGTTATGACCGCAAATGGCTTTCAGACCAAAATCTTGGACACGTTTCTTGAGATCAATCTCTCGGGAGGCGCTCAGCGAAGAGTACAGCAGTTTCTGGAAACATATGCGGCCGCTATCGTCCACATCACTGTACACTCTGTGCGCCAAAGCAGTCAACAGACCGTTGATGACCACGTCCTCGGGTCTGATACGTGCCATCAGTTTCTCGTAATGACGAGAGTCCGCGAAACCAATCAATAGCTGCAGGAGTTGGCAGTAATTGGCGTGTAATCTGTCGTTCAAAATGCAAGAAAAGTAGAAGAAGCTATGGATGTCGATGTCTTTGACGCCACTCTTATCGGTGATCTTCTCGAAGAACTTCTGCAAGGGTTGGAGTTGTAGTGTCACTCCATTCTTCTGGAAGTACTGCTTATTAATCAACTCGAGTGACAACATGTTTGCCTTCATGTGCGCCACGTCTTCGGCCACTCTCTTGTCCATTGGCTCCACATTGGCGTCGATGTCGTTAACCCTTTCGTCCAACAGTTTCTCGAGTTCGCGGACCTGTCGTACAAAATACACGCAAATTATAAAAGTTTATTAAAAGTTAGTAAACAGTATTGAAAAATAAAGCTTAAACTAAACTGAAACTGGTTACTCACAGTCCATACAACCATCTATTGTTAAACTAATGTCTACATCCATTTCCTTATCCATTGCTTACCTCCTTTATTAACATAATCACATGAAATACACTACAGTATCACATGAGTTGTGAAATGAAATGTATGGCAAATACAGTCAAACCCCACTATATATGCATACCTTATTGCGAATCATTTCCTGGCATTTGTGGTCATCGCTGGACATCAACGCGAAGCCAAAGCCAATCAACTCTTGAGTCAATACATTAAAGGTCGCCAATTGTCTCATCAGTGGTCGATAATCGCTGCCATAGACCACCCGATCGTCAAATCTCTTCATCACATCCACGAAATACACGTTTTTATGCGACTTATCGTTGACTATGTTGTGGGCGATCGCGTGGACGCACACGCAGTCCACCAATGAGTATAAGTAATCCACTTCTTGTCCATTCATACACCGGTACACGTCTTCCGACTCCAACTCTTCGCACAGCACTTCCAGCACTCGTTTGCAGTGTTTGTGATCAGCAATGAGTTTGGCGTAAATGAGTCGCCAATTGAATTGCGAGCATATCTTCAGCCAAAACAAAACACCAAACGTTAGCTCGTTGTTGAAGACATCGATGACGGCCTCGAAGTACTGCATCTGTTGTGCTGTCAACAGATCGCACTCTTTGAGCACTAATGCGAACAACAGTTCGTTGATCTGATGCAGAGTGCGGTCATCGGCGGTAATCTTCGGCACTTTGGACACCACTTGAGGCCACAGCCGAGCCATAAACCACTCGTTGGATGCGATCATCACTTGTGACCAACACTTGTCTCGTGAGCCCTCCTCGCAGTCTTGTGGCCAACAGTAATGCGCCGAAAATATGCCCAAAAATCGCTGGACATTGAGGTCGTTGTCGAAGTACCTGACGGCCCTCTTCGCACACTTCTTCGGCATCTTTTGGCTGCCATTCCTCCGCAGCAACGGATCGCCCGACGCGGACACCGGTCTCTCACTGTGTTTGCCATTCGTGGCGTCACTTATCGACAGCTGATCCATACCGTAGCGACTCTATGGACGTGTGGTCACTGATTGGGTGATAATGTGGTGATGTATTGGATCAATAAGCCGGTGATACAGTGTCTTAATGGCGAGACTTGACCATCGATTGGACGCACAGTTGATATCGAGTTTCAAAAACGACTCCTTTTTGTTGACAACAAACACATGTTATTTTGGGAGACTTGTGGACCCTTTTGTTCACAGCAAGCGTATGGAATAGTAGGCGCACTCGTTGTCTCAAATGGTACCGATTCGCGTCACATTCGCAATGAAAGGCAATTGAAAACGAGTTATTAACGTAATATTCATTGAATCGCTGCATAAGTTTGGGTCAACTTTTGACTGAAACTTATTTGACCGTAAAATTCAGTGTAAAAGTCTTATCATATTAAACTTATTATCCTGCTAAGTGCTAGATTAAACACACATTATGTACTTAATCTCTATATTATTAAATTGATTTATGCATACATTTTTAATTTTTAAGTAAATTAATGAATTCCTAATTAGTAATTACTGTTAATCTAAATAGATAGCCAATTAAACTTAATAAATTAGCAATTACATTTTTAATATTGCACTATTTATGACATTATGGTACTAATTTAAGTAATAGAATTTATTATAAAGTGTTAATAAAGTTTTTACATTAAAATATTTTATTTGGTAAACTTTATTTTATTTGTTAAATACTTAAATAACATTATATAATTATAATTATAATTATAAATTAACTTAGTAATGATTAACTAAATGCTTTTTGGTTTTATATTACCGCAAACATTAAATGAATGTTTAAATATAAATATTACGCTTATAATTATAATTATAGCAATATTTTTGATTTAAATATTTAATTAATTTTTGTTGTGTCATAAATAATGATCTACATCTATTAATAGTATCATTTGTTCAGTGTAACTTTTAAAAACACCTTTTCACTTTAATGCTGTATTTAAAAGTGTTTTTCTATAATTAGTGGTATAATGAAACATAATCCAGTTTGTGCATAACCTGCAAACATGAACATATTGAAATTAAAACACTTTTCACTTATCATAAGTCTATTGTTTAGTCAATGTTTTGCACAATTGTTTGAACGAATTCCAGACATATATCGGAATACTGTATGAAATATCAATTCAATGCTTCTATTAGTAGTTATTTGTGTAAAATTATCTCTAATTATAGCCGCAATTGATTAGCAGCAGAGGTTTCGACTGCGAGAATCATACGGTGACCACAGATGATGGATATATTCTGGGAATATTCCGGATCGTCAACAACAAGTGGAAGGGAGAGACTAAACCTATACTCTTGTGGCACGGATTGAGCTCCAGTTCTGACTTTTGGCTCATTTTAAATGACGGACAGTTGTTTCGGGACGGCATTTATAGCGAGCAAAACGGATCAGTTGTGAACAATTGTCACAATGAATTGACATCTAATATAGCGTTTACATTGTCTGCCTGTGGTTATGATGTCTGGTTAGGCAATAGTAGAGGCACTCGTTACTCAAATACACATATTGATCCTGGTCAGTTAATTTCGTAGTTGATGTGAATGAATAATTAACTTTATATTTGAATGCAAGATATGGACAACTTCTGGAACTACACGTTAACAGAACTGGGTGTTTATGATGTTAAGAATACCATTGAATATATACTCAAACAGACAAATAAAGGTATTATTATTATGTGTTTAGTAATTGTTGGATGAGTGAACTCATTTAACAAAACCATATTTCTAGTTAATAGTTGTTCACTAAATTATTAATTGTATTTATCATAATCATAATTAAGCCTCACTTCCATATATTGGTCACTCTATGGGCTCTACAATTATGTTTGTCTTACTTTCATTGGAACCAGATTTCCAAAGATATATCAAACCATTCCTAGCATTTGCACCGATAGT